AGAAGCTACAGAAGTCATACAGGAAGACGAGCTTGATCTTCAGCTCGAACAGGCTCTTCAACGACTCTCAACCCAGTCACAAGACCTTGCGACGCCTCAAACTCAGGCTACACCATCTCCTATCCCAGAGATCCAGCGGGCCGCAACCCCGCAGGAAAACATTGAGAAGGAACTGCATGCAGCCGAATCGGAGTTTTCACCTGCATGTTCATCTCCAGTGCACTCACAAGCTCATTCAGAGCCACCAATCCAGTTGTCACTGCCCTCACCGCCAGCGAGGCAGCTCACACCGTCTTCAACACCATCCCAGATACCATCTGAACACATACATTCGCTCCCGACAACGCTAGGGCAGCCCATTCAAGCCTCGACGCCGCCAGCGCCGGCCCGAGCATTCTCAGATCCACCAACATATCCGCAATCGGCTGCTCCAATCAGATTTCCATCAGTCCACGAACCTTCATCTCAATCCTATTCCTCTCCGTTGAATCAGCGTACGGCACCGTTAACGGAACCATCAGCTATCCCAGGCAGCTTCCCAGCGGACACGACTGTGCCTCTAATTAACTTTCAGCCACCACATCAGCGTCAAGAAGGGATATCAGAAGAGAATATCGTGGAGGGAAAACGAAAGCGAAAGCCACCTTCAGACCCATACCTCGCCAGCTATTTCACGCAAGATAACGAGGAAGATCAAGAAGGGGTCTTAGCTGCCTTTGCCACTGCAATTTCTGCACCAAGGCCTAATCAGCACCGAATGCATCGGGATGATCTGCCGCCTGAACCCCAGAACTGGAAACAAGCTGTTGGCCACACATTCAGTGAAGGCTGGTTGGCTGCAGCAGGTCTCGAAATTGAATCCTTGCGGATACGAGGTACATTCACCACCGGCAGACGGCCCCAAGACCGTAGCGTTCAAGTGCTGCCTCTCACCTGGGTCTTCACCTACAAGTTTGACAGCAATGGCTTTCTCCAGAAGCTTAAAGCTCGCATTTGCGTACGTGGAGATCTTCAAGCCATCAACTCGGAAGAGAAACGAGCCGCAACCTCGCAGCTCGCACAGCGAGATCCATCTTCGCCCTTGTTGCCGCATTCGACTTAGAAACTATGCAACTGGATGCCGTGAATGCATTCCTGAATAGCACACTCGATGAGGAGGTCTATACTCAGATGCCGGAAGGATTCACGGATAAAGAGAGCTGCTGGAGGTTGAATAAGGCCCTTTATGGTCTGCGGAAGTCCCCGAGGCTCTGGCAACAAGAGGCCACTCGAGTACTGGAAAAGCATGGCTTCGAAGCCGTTCCAGAAGATCTCTGCCTTTTCACTCGCAGCGGTATCATCGTATTCTTCTATGTCGACGACATCATCATCGTCTACCACTGCTCGAAGTCGAACGAGGCTATTCAGCTCCGTACGCAGCTCCAGAGGCACTGGGAGCTTCGCGATATCGGAGAAGCTACCTGGTTCCTTGGGATTCGAATTCTGCGCGACCGACAACAGCATAAGCTTTGGCTCTGTCAAGACTCCTATTTCTCATCAGTAGCGGCTCGCTACCATCTGTCTAGCGGTCGGAAATACCACTCACCGTTACCTGTGGAACGCCTCACAGCGTTCACTGGTCAAGCTACAGCTGCGCAAATCCACGGATTTCAACAGAAGGTTGGATCCGTCCTCTATGGGACCATCATCACCCGTCCGGACGCTGCGAAGTCTGCTAGCCACCTTGCCGAATTCCTCACTAATCCCGGACCGCAACACCTTGAAGCAGCCAACCGGCTCATCCGTTACCTCGACTCCACTCGTTACTTCGCCCTCGAGTATCGTCCAACACATGACCTCGAGCCTGCTCTCCAATTCTCTAGCAATGCATCGTTCGGCGACCACACGGACCGCAAGAGCTCGGAAGGATACCTCTGCAAGCTATTCGGAGGGGCAGTCGACTGGAAAGCTGGAAAGCAACGGACCGTGACGACTTCTACCACAGAGGCAGAGAGAGCTACTGGCTCTATCGGAGGCAGCCAAATCGGCTCTCTGGTGGAAACGTCTCCTCGCCGCTGTCAATCTCGAATATCAGGACTCGGAAGCGATAGAAATCCAGTGCGACAACGCCCAGACCGTGGGCCTTCTTACAAAAGAGACGTCGCAGCTAAGCACTAAGCTTCGCCACGTCGACATTCACCACCACTGGCTTCGACAGGCCGTACAAGCCGGAAGGGTCACTATCCGCTGGGTTCCCACGAAGGATATGGACGCAGACGGACTCACGAAGCTCCTCTCTACCCAGAATCACGGCAAATTCATGCGATCCCTTGGACTCACGGACATACAGCACCTTATAACATGAGGTGGAAGTGAGAGAAGAAGGTCGCACTCAACAGTGCGTGCTCAGGCATACGGTGGCTGCTGGGGGGGTGTGTCGACCAAAGAGAGTCGCAACTTTACTAGTGCGCCCGAGGAATATTCAGCGCCCCCATAAGCCGACTTCAACCATGGTTCGTAAGGCCCTCAACGACCTTACTAAGCCCACATGCCATTTATTCTGTATTTTCTATAGTATCTAAAAATCACACTCTCAAGTACTCAATTGGCTATGCCCGTACTAGTCCGTACTGTAACGACAACGTTCCGACATTATGGGTAGTCCACTGACTAATCGAATGGCAGGAAAAGCTTAAAAGTCCAGAACAATCTGTCGGATTGACAGATACTGGTATGTGCTAGTAATGAGGTGTTTTATTGAGGTGCTTTATTGAGGTGCATTGATGTTGTTCTATCTGGATCTTGCTGTTGAAGCGTTAACAGATCTCAGGAGTCGTTCCTAGCGTGTTACGACGCTGGTATGCCGAGCGTACCCCGTTTACCATACAGAGACAGAGACAGAATGGGTACTTGATGAATATCCCCTGTTCTTAGTGGTAAAATACCACCCCTCAGTTCGACAGTTCTAATGCTGGGTTGACCTGGATCATTCCATCTTCCATCACATACTGATCATTGATTGGTACTTGGTAGACAAATCACTGCGTCCGGGTGGAACTGAACGCTTCAATACGTTTGACAGACCTCTTGGGAAGAAAATCTTGCATCCTTCTAGAGGGGATCATTGGATACTCTTCTCATCTCGTAATAGTTGTCTACATGACATAAGTTAGATTAGGGTTCGAGAAACCTGCTTTGGAGCCTATAACGGAATGCTATTGATTGTATTGGTACCATTGCCTTAAGTTGCGGACGGAGCTCGAGAACGTGGCATAAGTGATGATGCAGATACCCGGGTTCCATGAAGGCACGGAAGCTTCAACGTAATATAGTTAATAGCCACCTGACTCACACAGCCAAACTCATGCAGTAGCTTGTGGAAACCGATGTAAGACCCTAACTTGCTAGATCTTCCTTTATACTAAATTTATAACGTAGATAACGACGTTACAATTAATTACGAAAATCTCGACAACTACCCCGCCCGCAGCCGCTCCTCCTGGTCCCCATGTCGGCCAAAGTATAGCTGTACATCCCAAGCGGTTCTATAGGCTTCAGCCTTGGCCCAGGCGCTTTCCAGAGCCAATTGTCGGGAAGTTTGGAACAGGTTCTGGAGAAACTTCCACGTTCGATGGCGTGACCTACATGTACCACCCGAACAGTGTTGAGATCCACGAATGTTGCTGATGACTGTGGATTATTTCAAGCCATTGAAGGACTCGACCGATAACTAGCGTAGGATATCAGAAGTGAGGGGGCCTTTGGTTTGTGGTAGATTAAGCCCGAAGCTCTGCGAGAATCATAGTACGGATGGGCTTTGGAGAATTCTTTTGTTGAGGTGTCGCTTTGTTTGACAATATTTCTAGCTGGAATAAAGAAGCACACAAGATAGAAGAGGCCCAATAGAAAAGTTTCGCGAAACCGATCCGCTTCGTGAGATGACAGTGGTGAGAGTGATAAATGCCAGGGTTCATAAGCCAATTTCCCTGGTAGAACTAACTGCTTCTAATGCACTAGGTTTATCATATATAGATTGTGTTACCGGACATGAGCTAGTAACAAATCGAAATCTCCACAGGTTACAATTATTAGCCGATCTTGATGTCTTAAATATGAAATATAATTACTAAAAGGTGGCCTTGGATTACCATTGTTCTTTTGGAGATTTATGATTTGTTTTATATATCTACGCACACCAACAAGTAATGTGGTAACGTTAGATAAAAATGTTAAGTGGATCGGGTGACCTCCAACGTAAATCCTAAGTAGTTGCTGGCCAACTGTGTCGAACAAGTGTTCAAAGACGTGATAACAAATACAGATAAGAGGCAAGCACGCAAAGATGATACACGGGCAAGAGTAGCCTGTAGAAGCTGTTAAGAAAGGCCGGTTGCATGCAGCAGATATATTTTACTAGACTACAGCCTAGTTCTCGCTCGAACGACATCCCGACGGCCGATGAGGAGACTTTCTAGAGCAAGTCGTATAACCTCGTTCCCTTTTCTAAAAGCGTCCCCGCTGATGATCAAATCAGTACAATGTAACCTCATGTAGGAGTGTGTGGAGTCGTTCCGCATCTGCTGGACATCCTCATCAGATCATTGTATTACTTTCCCAGCCAAGCTAATAATGCACCCTTCCTAACTTGGTTAAGACCTTGTGGACCGATCTGTCAAGTGTAAGCAATAAATGTATCTTCGTCAAAATCCACTATATTTGTACCGAGGAAGAGCCTAGCTGGAAACAACTAAGACCACGTCAAGCTTATGAGCCTGCGTATAGACCTGGCAGACTTTAGGGAGATAGCTATTTACCAATATCTTTAGTTCAGTTATTAACTTGGTCATTGTCGTCTGGTTATTTTTTATTTTTTTTTATTTTTCCCACGCTTTGAATGCTTCCTAAAATATAAACTTCGAACTATAGATAGCATCATAACGTGATTACACTGTCACTTGGAAACCACTCAACAGACTCATATAGCTTCTCAAAGTCATCTTGGATTTTGGAATGCTCTCACAATGGAGGTTAGTTTCTATAGGCAAGTCTTGAGAATAATCTTGTATCTGTACGTTTCCTCTAATTTACACTGTGAGAAGACCCTCAAGTAGTAAACGCCTGTTGGCTGTATACAGCGTATTCGAGGAGCGTCACTCATGGTTGAAGAAGGCTTCAGGCTATGGCTGAAGTCAACCCCGACCATTGCCAATTTGCGTGTGAGTCCGTATTGTCTCTATTAATCTGCAGCACATCAAAATCAAGTTAGAGCTATCAGTCTGGGCTCACCCAGGTCAGAGTACTGGACTCATAATCAATGCAGTATTTGAGACGACCAGGCTGAAAGCTTAGCAGAAAATTACACTTGACGCAAATATAGTTGATGGCAAAGATTACTGACCGTATTGTTAAAGAAATGCAGCAGTCGGTACTGTAATGATTCAATGATTGAGGAATGCGTAGCTCAATTTGAGCGCGCGAATCCCGAGAGGAGACCAAGTTTAGAAACCTAGTAAGACTTTTTTCCCTCTGAAACACATGCGTGGGAGAGCTTACGGGGCCTGGGGTTAGTAATTTGCTTTGCAATCTTCTGGCGACTTGAACACAAAGTAATCTCAAGTAGAGTGCATGTATCGTGGCTAGTTCAATTTAGTAGAATCCATAGATAAGTTAAGCTACGAAAAAAATGTGTACCCAATTTGTCATTCCCAAATTACAATTGCTCGAGGTGATGTTAAGGTCGCAGCGCCGCAAAGCCATTTTCACCCAGTTGGGCTTCTCTCCATAAATGATGTCCCACCGAAGGCAAGATATAATACAGGTTTCCGTACTTATAGGCGAGGTGTCCCAACAGGGAGCTTCTGCCGAGTAATGATGTTTTATTTTTCTCTGGTATTGAGCCCCCATCGCCTGTCCTCCCCACGAACCAAAAGGGCTGACAAGTCGATAGCTTAGACGCGCAGGCAGTATATTCCTCTTGGTTGCGTTTACAATTGCGCACTCCCTCGAACGTCCCCGGACAGATGGAGCTCTCCCTCGAGATTTTGCTGGTCGAAGCAGCGACTCATATATTGCTACGCTGGGTGGCAGCGGGGAAGGATGGCCTTCGGTGAGCCAATGGATTCCGTTTACGGAGATGTAGGTGGAAAATTTATTTTTTAGAACAATTGTCTGAATGCAAATGGCTGAGATTGGATAGGTTCCAGAATAATAAGGCCATCATCAAGGCTGGCTGTGTGCAATTTGGCGCCAATAAAGTCTCGGATGAGGAAATGTCTGATCTTTCATCAAGTATTCAGTCCGTAGCTACGTTTAGCGGCGTGGACGCGCGTTTCATTCTTGCGATTGTATTACAGGAAAGTAACGGCTGTGTTCGAGTAGGAACCACCAACAATGGCGTGAGCAACCCAGGTCTCATGCAGAGCCATGGCGGCATTGGCTCTTGCGGTAACAACAAAAAGTCCCCTTGCCCCAAAAGCATAATTCTACAGATGATTAAAGACGGCACGGAAGGCACATCCTCAGGAGATGGCCTTAAACAATGCTTGGTCAAGAATGGTGGAAGTGGAGCGACCGCCTACTATCGGGCCGCTCGCTGCTACAATTCGGGTTCGGTCGCCACATCTGGAAACTTGGGACAGGGTGGTTCGACGCACTGTTATGCCTCGGATGTAGCGAACCGCCTTCTGGGATGGTCATCAGGACCGAGTACATGCAATGAGGCCACGGTTGGCAGCCTCAGTGATACCCAGTCAGCTGGTAGCTCATCTATCGACGTAACATCTTTGTTCAAACCTACTTCTGTCCCCGCCAAGAAATTTACTCACTCTACTTTGTCTTCCTTAGTTACCACTCAGTACTTCTCTAATATTGCCCAATGGGAGCCATCCACAGCGTCAACGGGCAAGCACTCCTCTACATCGTGCTCGTGGCCCAGTTCCACCACTACAGCCGCGGTCTACCCATATACCATCGCGACCTGCCTTCAGTATGCTACTGTTGGCTCCGACGACTACTGTCAGAAGATTGAGACAGCGTATGGCATCTCAGCAGTTCAGCTCAGAGACTGGAATCCGGGCTTGGACGAGGCTTGCACGAATCTTTGGTGTGGATATAGATACTGCGTAAAAGCTTAGAGGGCCATGTCAATGCATCATGCATGATTATACCTCAATGAGTTGGATCCTAAACCATATAACACACTAGGCTGAGTGCGGATTCGTATTTTAGTCCAGTTGGGAAATCAACTCAATGACGAAATGGAACGGCGAGTGCAGAGGAGACTTTGGGTGGGATTGGGCATGAGTCAACTGTGTGAACGTGTTCTATATCTTGTTTTTTAGAAATATTTTGAAGCAATATCAATCATCTCTTGGAGGACAAGACGTGTACTTGTCCAGCGAAAATCTCAGAGGTAAACATTTATGTCCGGTGTGATAGTGACAAAGCAGCCTGATATTCCTCGATTTAGATATCATGACGCTTGCTTTCTATCACTACTAACCCATGGCTGAGCCATGTGACTTAAATTTGCAACGGGGCTGCCTACGCAAGAGGGCCAAATGTGGCGTGTCGCCGAAAGGGACCAGAGTTTACCCTAAAATTGTGTGGTTTAACGTTAGGTCTCAATGGGGATTTAATAGGAGCATCCATAGCGTGTAATAAAAAAATAACAAAAAAGCAAGTATGGCCAAGTTGAGACTGGACAAAAATGTTGATAAAGTAGCTATCTCCCCTAAAATTTCCCAGCGTTATGCGCAGACTCATGAGCTTCACGTGGTCTTAACGATTCCAGCTTAGCTATGCCTCAGTACAAACATTGTGGATTTTGTTACTCTTCCGAGACGAAGACATCATTATTGCTTGCACTTGATACATTGGCACATAAAATATTGTCTATGTAGGTCGCAATATTACCTTGACTGGAAATGCAATTTAGCCGTCTGATGTGAATGACCCAGCAGATGTAGTTCTCCACACACTTCTACATGAGGTTACCTTTTACTGACTTGATGATGAACAGGGGCAGATTTGAAAAGCAGAATGGGTATTACGTATTGTTTTAGGGGATTACTTCATCGGCCGTCGGGAGGTCTGCTGCATGAAACTGGCTTTGCTGAACCGCTTACATAGGTCACTGTTGTCCGTTGGCAAATGTGTCCTTCTTGCAGTTTCTGTACCTCATTGTGCTTGCCTTCTGCCTACCCTTTTGATCCAGACTTCAAGCGCTTGCTCTAGAGAGTTGCCCGGAAACTGTTTGAAATTTTTATTTTGGAAGTCACACAATCGATTCAAAAGATTATACAAGGGTACTACATTAGATAGTAGAGTGTTGTAATAAGTTATATAAGATAAATCATCAAAAGTCTCCAAAAGGAGAATAACAATGAGTCAAAATTATCCTTTACTAGTCATCTCTCATGCTTGCAAGACACACCATTGTTATCTATGGAGATTTGGACTCATTACTGGCTCATGTTCAATAACACAGTTCATATATTATACACCTGGTGCATTGGAAGTAATTAATTTTTCCGATGAAATTAGCTTGTGGACCCTGGCACTTACCACTCTCATCACTATCACCTTAATGAAGTTTGAAGCTTCTTTAGCACGACTGAAAATATTGCCAAACAATGCGAAAATATGTACAAAAGAATTTTCTAAAGCCCATCCATACAGTACTCGCCGAGCTTCGCGGCTCAGTCTACCGCCAAAAGCCCCTTACTTCTGATACGCCACGCTACCTATTGGTCGAGTACTTCATTTTCTAAAAGCAATCCACAATTATCAGCAGCCAGCATTGCTGGGAACTAGCACGACATGGGAGGTAGATCACAATATCCGACATGGAAGTGTGCTATGGAATGCGTCATGGCCAAGGCTAGAGCCTATAGAGACACTTAGAATGGACAGCTATACTTGGGCTGACATGGGGACCAGGAGGAGTCGCCGCGGACGGGATGGCTGTCAATATTCGTAATCAGTTGTAACATCATTATCTATATTGTAAATATAGCCTCAAGGAAGACCTACCAAGGTTGATTTCCCAATCGGTCTCTCCGAGCCAATATGTGGTTATTACACGATATTATGTTGAAGCCCGTTTGTCTAAATCATGACCTATGTCATGTCCTTAAGCTTTTCTCGCACCTAACGACAAAGAGGCCCATATAATTGAGAGCATTTCATCAGGGACTCCAAAGCAATTTTTTGGACCCTGATCAATGTTATTTAGACAGCAAAATCGATGTGAAAGATGGATTCAACGATCCTTGTACTGTAGAATGCCCCAAGGTTGTCTTTGGAGGAAGTACGTCAAAAATATTGAAGCGCTCAGTTTCTCCTCAGGATGTTCGTCTGCAAAAGTGCGCGATAGAAGATGGAAATCACCCGGGATGATCAGGTGTTGCAGTTTCGGCAGACTCTTTGCACCACTAAAGCTTACGCTATCGAATTGCATCGAACTGCTGGTCTACTCTGTCACAGCCTGTCTACACAAAAAAGATGCCAAAGGCGAGTCGTCATGCCATTATAACATCAAAGTATCCCATAAGCCAAACGCGGGAGGTTTGTAACCGTCAATCTGTTCCGCGTCGCTGGCACAGTGGCTTCATCGCAAGTGATAGCGTCGCAAAAAGGGGCACCCACGTCAGCCTCGATAATCGGGCTTTCGATCGCGGACTGTCAAGATTCTTTTCTCTTTTTTTAATTTTTATTTTATATTTTCTTTCAAGCAACAGCAAAAAATGGTGAGACTCTAGCGAAACAGGCGATTTATTTGAATCTTTGGCCTGCAGACCATTGAGTGAAGATAATACCGCCGTTTTTCCTTCCCAAAGACTGAGAATCTTGGACGTCGCTTCGCAAGAGTGATAACAGTCGAGATAATCGAAGGGACACTTCCTTATCCAGTAATAAGGCGTTGTCACCTCGCTTTATCTTTGACATGATTCTTACCTTACAACTCAGGGTTAGTCCAATTGTGGTTGGAGATGCCAGCACGTGCTACCAAAAAGGATCTCGCTAATTGGAAGTTTTCTAGTGTCTGAAACATATCATGTCATGCTATCAAAAACAGCTAGGTCTTCCCCTTCGGATTGAAGGCATATCTGTGGCTTGATAGACGCCTCTCCAATTACAGTCCACCAGGATCACCCCACAGCAGCATGGGCAGATCGGATCAGATACAGCCTAAGCGCATTGAATTTCTGTAGATACAACCTATATTCGTCTATTTGCTTGCAAGCCTACTCCTAGAATGAAGACCATAAGAGACTTCTTGAGAGGCTCTAAGATTAGCTCCCAAGGGTGCCTACATGCACCTGATGTTGCCAGGAAGTTGTATAAGACAAGCTTGGCCGCCAGCGTTCTTCGTAGAGAATGACACAAGGAAACTACCCTGGATAATACGAAGAAAAGCAGTGGTGAGGCTTGGCTCTCCTTTCATGACAAGATGTTGCATCATTACGAGGGAATAGTGCATACAGACTACAGACTCTGTGCCAGAAACATAAGTATTATAAAGTAGCAACATGCCATCAAGTTTACATAATTTTGAAAGAGTTTTCTTCTAGCTTGGGAGCCATTTCTGGGTCAATGTTTCAGATCTACACTCACGTAATCATAACGTAGCCGAGTTCACTCAACATTTACAAATACTTATCTTTGTAGCCCGGCTCAATCGTCACATAATACACTAGTGACGTAGGACTATGGGTCGCCAAATGATGTATCGAATTGAAGAAAAATTTTAAAAGGTCAGAAGGATCCAAGGAAATCCTCGACTTCGGTAAAGCCCCCATGTTCTATCTTCCCTGCTATTTCTCCAAATCTGCAAACTGCCAGCCGAATCAGCCTGTAAATGGACAACTTGGATAACGGGACTTCGTCGCAAGATGGGTTCCCCACTGTCGTCTCTATTTCTAGAGCCATGCAAGCAAACCCCTGCCATCAAAACAGCACCTGTCACGAAAACACCCCAGAAGCTGCGTTTCAGCCTGCCAGAGAACCGTACAAAGCTTCGGTTATCTCCGAGGGCTTCTTGCCCACAGAAGAGATGTTACGGTCTGCTCTCGCCGATGCTCAGTCACAGCAAGGAGTTCTGCAGACCGAGACAAGCTTGGCTAGGATTTTAGGAGAACAGCTTTTGAGTGATGCACTGGCTACCAAGGTTGCAGATTTGCTGAGCAAGCCTAAGCCTCAAGTCCTGGAAGCCGACGAACAACTTGGTGAAGTTGACGAAGAAGAGGATATTCATTGGCTTGATCTCATTCAGGAGCCGCAATTCGAGCCTCAGTGTCAAGATAACGGAAACTATCAATGTCATATCCTGAAGCGCAATGCACTAGTTCAGATATCTGCCTGGGATCACGACCTGGTTTTCACGTGTCGACAACTTTTTTACACCCAAACCTACTTATGTGACATGTTGGCTGAACGAGACACTCTGGAATCCATGGCCAAGAGCTTGTCGACTTGCAATCAAATTGCTTCCGACTGTAAGGAGGGAGCCCCACTACCACATAGCTTTCCAATGACTGACTGATGGAGAATCTAGTTATCAAGACGAACCAGACTACGCTCGTACAAATTACTAGCAGATTGCAGCCCCTTGAGGAAAGATTGAGCCAATTGGCTTGGACACACCAGGCACCTCTTTCCAGGCTCCAGTGCGATAGCACGAGTGAAGAGGATCCAGCACCCAAGCAAGACGAGACAGCCAGTGATCCTATTGCAGAAAAAGAGAACACAGCGAAACAAGAAGGTTAGACATAGTATTACAATCCGATTAAATGGAAATAGCTGACAGCATGGCGCAGAGCTGCCTTGTTTACGCCGATGGACTTCGCAGCATCTCAAATTCCTCCTGCCCTGGTACAAAAACCATGAGCACCTACCAGATGACATGATCGAGAAACTATTCCAAAGAGATTTTTGTCACTATCGAAGCTGCGGTGCGATTCGCGCTGCTGTTAAACGGGAAGCAAAGAAAAATCGCAAATGGCACGGGGAGAAAAAGCGAGCGACCCGGAGAACGGCAGAGCCTGAACCTGTCTCGCTTCAGACTACGCCAGTCTCTCTCAAGGCTCAACTCCCCTGAAACACACAGACATCGGGTATATTGGCAGAATGGAAGTCAGAGACTGAACAAAGCTAGATTCCGTGAGCCTTGACGAAGAAGTACCGTTACTGTTTATGTAAAATCCAAGCAGCTGCGCACCGGAAACGCTGCGCCAAAATTCCACGACAATGAGATGGGCCATTCACCCGTCCCCGGATCTGAGAGATCTCGTTAGCAGAATCAAAACCTTAGTGCTTTGCGAAAAAGCAGGTCTAAGGGGATTGTCACATATGATGGATTCCTGAACCATTTGTGCGACAGTTTTTAATGATCATCCCCATGGACATGATGGAAATAGCAAGACAGCTCTCATCTCTACTAAACTATAGACTGAGATGCATGAGCGGCTTTTGAACTACCAATCCTAGCTTCACAATAAAGGGAAGCTATCATTGTCATAGAATGGGAGTAATTGATCCTGTTTTCCAAGCTAGGATCTCAAGTCGTAAGCCGCCGCGTGAATAGGTGGTTAACCACAGAATGTAATCAGGTAAAGCAGCCGTGGGAGTCAAGATAAGTCGTTATTATTGATAGAAAACATATTATCTTTTTTTTCACGACTGAAATATCGAAAGAAGAAATTTACTTCTCTACTCGCACGAATTAACAAGGCCGCCTTCGCGATATAACGTGAATGCCCTGAACTATCTATCACGCAATGTGTAAGCGACGGCGCAAAATAGTTTGACATCCACCGCTCTGACCTGCCTCGGGCACAACATATGACAATCGACAGCGAAGGCGCGTGATGATCAAGGTGCTCACTTTAGATTGAGCTTGCACGGAGCTGCAGCTAAATTGTGCAAACTACCTCCGCTCCTGGGTCTGAGCATCACTCAGTAGATGATTTCCTCCACTGGCGGGAGAAACGGCTGGCCCAAACCGCTGAAGCCCGCTCTCTTTATGCACTGTTTCTACAAATCTTAACAAACAATGGGTGCGCAAAACCTTCGTTAAATATGATTTTCACGCCGCCAGTCGTAAGTCGTGATGGAAGACCACTACCAAGAGTTTGGTGGTCGTTTATGGTTTGGGGCCTTACTGTTCTTAACGAGCCAGACTCTGTTCCTTTCTCTTACGGTCAATGTGAATGATAATTTCAATAGGAGAAGCCTGCATTTTGCGAGTGCGAAAAACCTCACCAGGCCAATTCCGACCCATTTTCCAGCTCACTTCTTTAGGAATGGAGGGTAACAATTATCACGCAGGACAGCGGCTTCTCGTATTTGACACCAATATTTCCGCTCGAGGGAACTAATCCAGCAGAAGTAATACACTCCGTGACTCTGTCTTCACCAACTTTATATCAATACCAACGCCTTTCTCTACAGTTCTATATCTCTGCGTACCAGAATCCTCATATAACAAGGCCTAAAAGTGGCATTATTTTACATACCCAAAGATTTTCCAAGAAGTATACATCAAAATAGAGTCTAAGGATACCTAGGTTCTTTTGTCAGGTAAGAACACGGATTAGATTGGGGACGTTGGAATCACTCAGGGTTTAATACATTACAGTACTACCTTCGGATACCGCACTAGATTTCGCGACAGTGGATCACCAGACATGGAATAGGCCATTTCAGGGGGAACCGATCCTTACTTGGTCATTTCCTAGAGGAAATTGCAGGATTTTTCTGCAGTTGACTATTGTGATATCACGACCAACACATTCCTCATGTCTACTGTCTTTTCTAGCAAACTGATGACAGCGGCTTTGTTATGACTGTTGTGTTGATGCCGGTACACCCACTCACGCTGGCAAATACTCTAATGTCATTCATTTGACCCGTAAAGGAATGCAACGGATTACGCCAAATGGCCCCAAAGCTAGCATAAACAAATAGCAAGATGGATCGTGGCTCTAAACAGCCTACGATGATAGCCTGGCAAACAGGAGGTTACCAAATCTGAAGTCTATCTTCTTATGTTGTAACGGATGTGTCTCCATGCAGCACACCTTTTTAATATGCATGTACGGGTATGGCCGCCCCCAGCAATTCGGGTCAAACTTTCCATTTTGCTGCCTTTTGCCTCTCAATTATGAGCAAATGTCTCTTTGGCCATTTCTAAAGATACAGTGGAACGATCCGACGGCTTACCCATACTCCAGCGAACAACTTCGTACTTTCGCTTAGATTACGCCATGTATCTTTCTGGAGACTCATTTGAGCCTCCGAGGCTGACATTCCTTTTTCCTCTGTTTTTTTTCTCTTGCCATTACTTTTCAACGGGCCGACTACCTCATCTTCCTGATTCAGGAACTTGCCTGCGAAAATAGCCCATCTCATATCCGCTCTGCTGCTGATATCGTATTAAAAACGTGTTTTCTGTGGGACCAGGCCAAGCTACGTGAGGAGCGGCTGCGGATGGGCCGGACCGTTCAGATTCCCGTACCTGGGCAGTTCACATGTAAATTGGCGTCAACTATGTATGCCCTTACCCGTCTCCTACGACCAAGTTAAAGATCTCCTTTATCCCCTTTGAGTGGGAATATTATGTATCAAAATGCCGTTCAATTTTGTCCCGATGAGAGCTACCCATTGTTGTAAGGAGCACGCACATTAGAATAACATATACTTGTTGACAGTAAGTGCTCATCAACACAAGGTTGCATTTATGAGGAACTGTAATCATGCTCTACTGTATTATATGTGCCCCCAGTGAGCTCGCACTGGGCAGCAATCCTAGCCAAGCTGTTGGGACAATGGATTCTTACCTTCTCGTGGTGTCTGGTGTTAATCCCCGTTGAGGAGACCAAAGTGAATCCGTCGTGGTTGTGCGGTCCGGCCCGGTGCGGTCGCTTCCCGCACGACCACGCCAAAATCAGAGGACAACGGGATATGAAAACCATCCTACTTCTTTTTACCCGACTCGCACTCGGGCCCAGGAACTGGTCTTGCAGTACCAGTAAAGTGGTGTCGCCCTAGAAAGAAGACAGGATACCCCTGAGCTTGCATACGGTCTGGGTTCGCATCGTGTGAGATGCTGCGAGGCGGTAGTAAATCGATGACACAGGCAGTCAAGCTAATATCGAACAGACCTCATTCAAGGCCCAGGAGTCCTCGTTAAAACTCGAACTCGACAAGGCTCGAAGATGCCGGCTCGGAAGACCTCGTTAAGGCCTAGCCACGGGCAACCTTTGATGCGGTTCCTCTTCTTGACACGGACACCACCGGGACACGGGCAGCTTCCCGGGAGATACACGGGTGTTCTGGAAGGAATTGGTATTTGGCTGGTGGCAAATGATGGACCCATTTAAGGTGATGCCACGGGCAAACCATCGATCCTGCTCAGACATCGGGGAGCTAGCTTGGTTAGTGGAAAGTGGCCGACGCACACTGCCGGACGGAGTGTATACGAGGGCTTTTTGCAAGACACGGTCGGCCTAGGGGGAGGGGTGGGGGGAGTCCTCCACAGGTAAAGTGAAACAAGATCTCAAGCTCTCGCGAGGCGTTGTGTACAATGGCAGCCACTGCGACAGGGTCGGGGCCAGCCAGGAGACAGTCTGTGTGGCCCGAGAGGACGGATGCGCGTGCCGGTGTACAAACAGCCGGGAATCAACTACCTCACTCGCACTGAGAGCCTGAGATTAGGCTAGCCTGATTGAAGCGGTTTTGTCCCAGTTGACTTGTCCGTGTTGTATGCTTAAGGAGTAACCTGAAAGACACCCAGGGTGAGAGGCTTTGTCCGCCTCAAGAATCCAGAAAGCTCGTTTGTTAGGTAAAAATCCGGGGTAGTGGTCTATAAAAGTAGGCCTGCCGAAGCTACTTTATGTCTCTTGGCCTGATGGACACGAGACTCAGATACAAGTAGCATATCGCGAGGGCAGCATCGAAGGGCCATGATGCGGCGATGGAGCTTCGAAGACTCAGAGGTTTATCCCCCACGACAGCAAGGCAACTGTTCACATCGACTGTGGCCCCGGTGGTGGACTACGCGTCCAACGTCTGGATGGACACATGCAAGGACAACGCCATAGGGGCGATCAATCGAGTCCGGGGTGGCGGTCGAGTAGCGGCCACCTCGGTATCGAAAACTGAAAGTAAAGACCTTTTCTGTGACATTGGACGCAAGATCAGGGCAGAATCCATTCTCCGCAGTTAGCAGCAATGGCACATACATTGAACATGCTAGTGGGGCTGAAATTTTACAGTATTACGCTGCTCACGAGCAACAAAGCGGCGGCTCTCACACTAAGAAACACTCGACAACAGTCGGGCCAGGAATTCGTCTGTCAAATGTACAAGTTGATGGGAAGATTGCGGAGAAATGGAAATCAGATCAAGATCCGTTGGGCCCCTGCCAGTGAAGGGAATAAATTGTTGGGCCTGGTTAAAGAGCAGGCCAGAACCGTGACCCAAGAGGACGCTCTCCTACAAGCACGAGTCCCTAGGATGAAGTCAACTACCCTGAATATCGCAAGGTCCCAAGCAGTCCCCAACAATGGCCTGCCAGAGAACGTATGGAAACACGCGAAACGAGTGGATGCAGCACTCCCAGGCAAACACACCCGGCAGCTATATGACCGATTATCGTGGAAATAAGCGAGCGTGCTGGCGCAACTCCGAACCGGCATGGCAAGGTTGAATGGATATTCCTGTCAAATCAATGTAGCACAGACGGACCAATGTGCATGTGGACAAGCAAGATAAACTTCTGAGCATTTCTTCTTTCGAGGCCGGAAGTGGACCGCACAGCGGACCTAAGCAAAAAGCCGACCGGCCTGAACCGCGACGCTAGATTCCGATCCGCTCGCACTGACATGCCAACATGCTTCAGAACTTACCCTTGGCTGGCCTGCTTATGCCTGCACCGCTTCGAACCAGAACATCCGCTATCTGCATTTGCCGTTGGGCATACTGTGTATGAGGTGAGGCGTCCACCCGTCACGGTCTGAATAACTTATATCGGCCCATTCGCGAACCGGAAGCTCTGCGACCCTTAGTGGAGTCACCGTAGCATGCACAATATGGGAGAGGTGTCCATCCATCCTAGTTCACATTCCGCCGATGGCCCATCAAACGGGTCGCAGTACCGACTGCACCGCGTTGCGCACAGTACATCAGAGTGGTCTCTCAGTGTTAAAGATATTGACTTTGACTTCGTTGCCCCTTTAGCTATCGAACGTAGTAGTGATGTCCAAACGTGTTGTCTGACTGATTGGCATCTACGTATTTTCGTATCAGAAGTTCGATAATCTCAGTAGTATCGCGTTGCTTATAATCCTAACTAATGGATGCCACGATACACCCAAATCAGACAGACACATCGACTTTGATTATGCTTTTTGGTTGTTTCTATTTTTGTTCTATTTACAGTAACACCGCTTTCCGTTCTTTCAATGTTTTGTGAAATTCACTCTATCGATTTGTCTTTATCTAGACTTGTGTTTCAAACCGGAGACGAGCAAAACCTTAAGCCAACATACATGTGCCTGGATCAATGTCTAGGGAACTATTTGCACAATGGTGAAGATGTAACTAAATTCCTCAATTTGCATTGGATCCCGAGAGTATGGTACGAACATTTGGCTGCAGAACTTGACTAACCCAAGCTTTTTTTTTCTTTGCTTTGCCCGCCCATTGTTCAATGTTTAACATTCTTGTTCTCTCATAGAGGGCCATTCGGCCTATCTGCAGGCCATTAAGATCACACCTGAAAAAATGCTCCTTTTTCATTTCTATACGAGATCCCAAACACATGTACTGAATGATGGTATCATGAGTTTCCTTACACATTGACCATGAATTTTAGAGGCTAAAGATTATCAGCCTCTATCGTAATGTTTATATATAACCGAAATGGCCCCACATTGGCAGTATGTTCAGACATGCTGATTTCCGCTTATCACAGTTGCATCATTCATATATTATATAATGAGTAGGAATTGCCATTACAATTTCAAAATTGCCTGTAGTACTAGCGAAAGGTAATAGGGCGTTTGTCACCACCATCACTGTTTAGAGGGGATATCACCCAATATCAGAGCGATCTATTGCGCTCATCCAGCGTTTGACGAAGCTGAATTTAGCTTTGGCTTATTTAATAGTTGGGCGACGCTACGCTGAGTCTAGTAAGTATGCAAGAGTCAGCCCTCTCTCCCCCTCCCCGCCAGATTCAATAGAGACCTTGATCAAGTAAAAGAGTGCTGCTGATTCCACACGCACGAGTACTGCTTACTGGTGGTTTGACAAGCAACGGAACCTACCTCAAAACAGCTTGTACATAAAGCTGCCAAAATGCGAAAGACCCCTAGCTTTTGCTTTCCATCCGGGGACTTTGCTGGCTGGAGTCAGAGGTACCTGGAGACAGACAATCCGAGTTTCAGGTACAGCGATCTACAAAAACCAGTCATCCGGCAGGCTGGGACGTGGAAGTGGAAGCCTACGGATTCTAAAAGCCAGTTGAGGCCACTTCACGGCTTCGCAGCCGTGAAAAAACAACCGGCAGCGTCGCCCTCCCCCAGGGTATGCACTCTCGAGCGGCTGCCGCCAGAAATCCTCGGTGCGTAGGCTCTATTCATAAGCAAACGGAAAGAGGTAAGGATACACTGACCCGTCTGCAGGCCATATCGTGTCCTATCTTGCATTGAATGTGCCACCGACAGGCTATTCACCTCGAAACTTAGACTTGATCTCCTGTCTTCTTAGCTCCCGCACATTACATGCGGCTACACTCGGCGTACTCTACAAGGCTATGACATTTTCGCAATCTGTGACATTTTCCAAGGCCCTCCATCACATTTCGCAGTACCCTGCGCTCGGCACCCTTGTGCGCCGCCTGGACTTCTCACACTTCACATCGGTTGGCCTGGGAAGGACGAGGCAGTCAAATGCAGAAATTCAGAATCTGACCTCGCGCACCTTGATGCTGTGCCTGGATCTGTTACCTAACTTGAGGGAATGTCTTCTACAAGAGCACCTCGAGGGTGACCTTAGCGTCGATGTGATTCGGAAGTTGTTTACTGGTCTGCCGCACCTGCGTGCCGTGGACTTCTGCGGTTGTTCCACCCGGATATTTTCCCAGGCGTTTACCGAGGCCTTGGCCACTGACAGGCCATTGTCCAACTTGCAACGGCTCTCGCTTCATGAATGCAGCACCATTTCTTCATCAGCCTTAGAATTCCTGGTATGCCATCTAACGCACCTAACACATCTCGACTTAGCCCGTACCCAAGTGAGTGATTCAGCCCTCTTGGCCATTCCAGAGACCGCTCGTATCACACATTTGAACCTGTCTCGATGCAGTCGGCTTCGATCCTCCGCCCTAGTCAAGTTTCTCACAACCCATGCTGCCGTGAGGGATTCTTTGGTGTATCTCAACCTTATGGCAGACTCGACTCCCTTCCGCCTCTCGGAATATGACTTGTTCGCCCTCCTACCAAGAATTTCGGGAACTATGCGATCTTTAAACCTAGGCGGGGCGAGAATAACTCCAGACCATGTGCCGTTTCTGGTATCTTTGACTACGCACCTGGAAGAGCTGGGCCTCAGCTCGGCTGATCTGTCGGTCAGTGATATCAGCTCGCTCTTCCTCAGCACGGTTGATGGCACCGAGCCAGGTCCCAATAGAGGCTTGCGTGTCAGCACTCTTCGCTACCTCGACCTTGCCAAGGTTCCCAAGGTGACTGCGAGGTCACTCTTTAACGAGGGCTCTTGTCTCCTATCAAACCAGAGCTGGCCGCTCCAGGTGATTGAGGTTACTGACAAAGTCACTGGCTATCTGTCTCAGCCCAGCAAGAGCCTGCAATCTTCTGTGGGCTGGAATGCGCATGAAAGCGGTCGCCGTAGCTGGTACATCCGTGATATGACCTCTTCGCCCAACCACTCAGTTGATGATGGCTCGCGGCCTTGGAAACTTGGCTCGCGACGTTGGGGAATGCGAAAGGTTCCTATGTCCTTAGGAGAAGTAGGTGGTCTATACTGTCATTATATGTTCAAAAGGTGATGCTCCTGTGGGACGAAATGTGCTTGGTAACCCACGAGGAAGCATTTCATCCATCCATTATGCTATCGCACTGCCGCCCTTCGTTCTACTGGTCCTTGCCCTAGCATATTGTAATGAATGCGCCACCTTGGTACTCTGAAGATGAAAGGTTCCCGGTCGATAAATTCTCTATGCCATAATAGACAGACATGGTGGATCGCTCTTTCGTCTTGCTTATTCTGCATTTTGCCTTTGTCTTCCTTTAGCAAGATAACCGACAATATCCAACATGTTCTGTAGACTGTAGTTTGCTGCATTTCAGTTTTTTTCAAGTACCACGCAACGAGAAATTTTATTACCCGAGAAATTCTTAAGGTAAAGACTGCTCTTGACAACAGGCCCCTTAACTTGGCAGCAGAGCCACTCCTGTAGTTGCTTCTTAGTGAAGAATTAACTGCGACTAAATTCCTGCTCTTGAGTTTGGCGACAGAGGACTTGGCCAAAATCCGATCGGAAGCCATCCCCGGGATCGAGGCCTGTGCCCGCAAAATCCGGGCCCCCTGGAGGAGAAACACAGCCAACGCCTTTCGTCATGTATGGCAATCAATAGCATCAAATCAAAACACCCAGAGCTGCCAATGCTTTTTAATGGTATCTGGCAGGAACTGTGGTAGAAGAAGTAGTACAACAAGTACCAAGGCCGGAGCGGCCCTCAAAAGGTTTCAACTGCGACTTCCAGATCATATGGGTCATATCTACGATGCGTGCGAAGCACTGGTTTTTAACTAAGCCTCAATCATCTGGCATGGTTGATTCACGTAGAAGGAAAGTAAGATGGTGGATTATACGATCGAGAAACATATTGAGATGAGAAAGATTGGAACAGCAGCAGATCAGCTTGATCATCGATTGGTCTAAAAGCAAACATCAAGGCTAGAAAGATAATTATCAGAACGCGAACCATTCGTGACGGTAGAAGTGTATGTAAAGAACGTTGGACGTCAGGGCGAAATCAAAGAAAAGGAACTCCCAAATGCCCGCTCCAGGGAGAAGTTGACCCCGGCATTGCCAATGGGCTTAGGACTATTATACTGTAGAAGAAGGCGAGAATGAGATAGAAGGGTAAGATAACGATGTAGCGAGAGTCCAAACGTTTTTAGCTTTGAGATAGGCAAGTAAGTCTTGCGGGATCCCCAGATACACATTTGCTCAGTGACCTGCCACTTTCCAACATTCTCCGACATTCGAAAGCCAGGCAGGGGCCTCCTCGCCGTTCTTCGGGGCAAGCTCGCTGGTCATGAGTTTGAAGGCTCAGTCCTTCATGGCAGCTGGGTCACCGAGGAAGCTTCTGCCAGCTGCCCAGGCTACGTCGGTGCCAATTTGCAGGCGAACTGAATTGGCAAGGCGTCCCATGTACCTAGGCCAGTGACTTGGTAGCTCAAGGCCAGCTGCGGAGAGCCAACATCCTTGGTGGCTTCATTGTATCAGCTGTAAACATACAGAAGACTCCGTCCATGTCGGTGGATAACCATTGCCAGCGGTCCTCCGGTGCATGAAATTGCAGTAACAAACGCGAACATACTATAAACAGTACACCAGCTAGAAACAGAGTCAACGAATAAAGGAACAGTACCGAGTGAATGTGCAGCGTAATATTCAAGTCATGTCATAAGTCCCTCGGTTTTGTCACTCCTAACATCATTCCCCTACCGTAACTCACGGGTTGTAGGCGATAATATAGTAATCACCCCCTCACTCATGGGTCATGATTCTGGGACGTCTAAGTTCATAGTGGAATCATTTGGTCGTTCTATAAATCATTGAATGCATTTCTACTTTCTAGCTCCAAAACAGCGCGTCAGACAGAGACAGTCAGAATGATTGATACTTTTTGTGATAAGAAAGGAGGTGGGTTTGAGTGAGTTACTTCAAATTCCTCCCAATGATATTTCTGACTCCGAACGAAGAATCTTCAACGATTCAACCGCGGCTTCGCCCCCGGACACCAGCGTCCACACAATAGAGAACGCAATAGCTGGGTCTATTTCTAGGGTTATGCCGAAGAAATTCTTGTTTCCGCCTCGTCCTGGATACAGCACGTTAGGGCAGCCAAATATCTTGCACACCAACTATCTCTCCCTCACGCTCAGCGACAAACGGATTTTCTGCTACAAGGCCCATATGGAAAGTACTACATCAAGCCAGCTACCCGAGGTCGCCGCAATAAGGCGAATAATTTCAAAATTGCTTGAGGAGCAATTTCGGGGACAAATTGCTCGGCTTGTTACCGACTACCATTCTGTGGTATTTTCTTGCGTGGAGGTACCATGGGCAAGCCCATACCGAGTCATGGATCCAGGAACGGGCAGATACCCGTCCGTGTATCCCACAAGTGAACTCAGGGTATTCTTCAGTCCGGCTGGCATGCTAAACAGTAAGGAATTCATGAACTACTTGAATGCCCCCCACTATGAAACAGAATTTCAGCCTATGCCTCAAGTCATGCAAGCGCTTAATGTGATACTAAGTCAATTACCCAGGAAAGAAATTTTGTCGGTTGGCGCTGCCACAGGCCCTGAATGTCATGGGCATTCAACTTCAAATAAATCGTTGTCGCTCTGCTATGGTCCAGAGCTGATGCACCATCTGTCCATCAAGGCGCATGCCGTGGCCGCACGCGTGCTAGTCAACGTGGATATCCGGTCTCACCCCTGGCACAAGGCAGGCCACTTGTCTACTATAATTAGGAGATACATGTCGCATCCTAGATCACAAATCACCCATCTTGAAAGCTTCTTGCGAGGTACTCGTATCCACATCATGGCTACTGTCCGACATTATCATGGCAAGAGGCCCGGGACTGCAGTAAAAACCATTGGAGGGCTTGCGACCTGCAACGATGGAGCACTGCTCCAACACCCTCCGAAGGTGGCACGATATGCAGCTGGACCACAGAACGTGAAGGTCTTTTTAGACCCGAGACAGACCGTATTTGCAGCCTCATCTCTCCCGCATGGCTACGTTACACTGCGAGCATATTTTGAACAAGTTTAGCTTTTTGTGTTGCCCCTGGTAGTGTTGTTAGGGTTAATTATGTAGGGTACAATGTCACCTTGGACTTGAACTTGCCTGTGGTTAATGTTGGAACTCCAGAGAGGCCCGCTTATCTTCCAGCCGAAGTATGCATGGTGCAGGCTGGAAAACCAGCCTGCGCTGCGTCTTGTTCAGTTTGGCATCCTCGCCCCATACACACACACACACAATTCATTAACGCCCGGCGGCTGAGCCGAAAGGGCAACTATCGCTAAACTACTATACATGTCTTAGTATATACAATTCTGTGACTTATTGGAGACGCCCCATACACACACACACACACAATTCATTAACGCCCGGCGGCTGAGCCGAAAGGGCAACTATCGCTAAACTACTATACATGTCTTAGTATATACAATTCTGTGACTCATTGGAGCCCATACACAAGACCTTGGCGTATTTGTCATTCTCAGCATGCAGTGTCGCAGCGGATGCTCGTGGGTTAGTAATGCGGTTAGTAGACTGGCTTGAAGGCGCTTCTCCAAGTGTTCAACATCCTATCTTCGGCAGTTGAAGCGCGTCCACGATGAGTAGCACGAGGTGGTTGGTGGGTTAGGTTAGAATGAAAGAGGTGATTTATGTTCGTCGGCGGGGTTAAGTGGCCTCGAGGCGGCCTGTGGCTATGGCGAATCGTATTGAGGCCCGTACTGCCTCTAAGTTTGGCGTCCACTTTTGATCGTCGGAGGGCGACTTCCCTCCCAGGTAGAAGGATAGATTCCCTCGGTGGGTGTCGGTACATTGTAGCATCTCCGTCCGATGTGCGGTCCACTTCCGACATCGAAAGAGGAAGTGCTCCACATTTTCCTTGGCCTGTCCGCATGCACACTGATCAGTGGCGGCCGCGTTGATTCGATAGAGGTATCCATTCAGTCTCGCCATGCCCGTCCGGAGTTGGGCTAGCACGGTCGCTTCCTTCCATGACAAGCGATCATACAGCAGTCGCGTGTGTTTTCCTGGGAGTGCTGCATCTACTCGTTTGGCATGCTTTCCGACGTCCGCTGGCAGGGTATTTCTGGGGACTGCTTGAGAGCGTGCGAGATTCAGTGTGGTCGATTTCATCCTTGGGGCGCTTTCTTGTAGGAGGGCGTCTTCTTGTGTCGCGGCTCTAGCCTGTACTTTAGCCAGGCCTAGCAGCTTGTTGTCTTCACTGGCAGAAACCCAGCGGAATTGAACATGGTTTCGGTTTCTCTGCAACCTTTTAATCAACTTGTATATCCGACAGACGAATTCCTGGCCAGATTGCTGTCGAGGGTTTCTGAGTGTGAGAACCGCCGCTTTGTTGCTTGTGAGCAGTGTGATCCTGTAGTCTTTCAGCCCTGGCACCGTGCTCAATACGTGTGCCATGGCTGCCAGTTCCGCAGAGAATGGATTCTGCTCTGCTCTTGCGGCCAAGGTGATGGATAGTGCTTTGTGTTTGAGCTTTCGATTTCGAGGTGGTCGCTTCTCGAGGGCCACTCCAAAACCCACCAGCTCGTTCCGTGCTGAACTGCTAACCGCGACCTGCATGCACCCGCCCGCTTCGGCCGGGCCCTCAAGCTGTTCACCACCATCGGTCTGCACGCGTTCCGCCCACGGGGCTAGCGTGAAGGGGTTAATCGTCTCCAAAGTCTCCAAGTCGGTGTGCTTAAGCGCATCGGCTACCTGATACAGTGGTGAGCGGTGGTATCTTCTGAACTTTCTGATCTGATCTGTACACCGGCGGAGAGGGTTGGTTCCCGGCAAGGTGTGGATGTCTGTCCACATTTTCACGGCTCGTTTCCAGAATCGACGCCGCGTAGTAGCTATGTGAGCCTCCGCCTCTGCGACACTAGTCGCGACCGTCAGAAATGTCCCCACAATGGCTTGCGCGCCTACTCTCTGGACTCGGTGGATTGGTCCCATGCCCTTATCCTTGCACGCGTGCATCCAGACATTGGAGGCGTAGTCTACGACCGGTGCCACCGTTGACGTGAAGAGCTGCCGCGCAGTCGCTGCGGATAGACCACGGAGTCGCCGAAGCTCCATCGCTGCTTCAAGACCCTTGGACGCTGCCCTCGCAATATGTTCCTTGTACTTGAGTCTTGTGTCCATCACGACACCTAGGATCTTGACGTGGTCTTTTGGTACCACCGTCTGCCCCTTGATGGTGAACGGCTCATGGTCCGATTTGCGCATCTTGGGAGCAAAGTGTATGATAGCCGTCTTGTCCGCTTCAAAGGTCGCTCCACTTCTCTTTTCCCAGTTGAGCGCCTCGTTGATGATGGCTTCAATTCCTTCCCGGTTACTCTGCGCGGTCGGACCGGTCACCCACGCGGTAAAATCATCCACGAAAGCGACTGCTCCTCCCTGGCTGTCGATCTGTCTTTGCACGAGGTCTGCGTTGAAGAAAAGAAATAGAATCGGAGACAGGGGCGAGCCCTGCGGCAACCCGGCTTGTGGCAAGCTTTCAGTTTCAGATAATTGCCCGTTGATCAGGATGTTCGCCGTTCGTTCCGAGCAGAAGGCCTCAACCCAACGAAGCAGGACCTGTGGTATGCCTCGGGCTTTCATCCTCTGAAAAAGTCGTTCTTTGCATACTCCGTTGTAGGCTCCTTTGACATCGAAGCTGATCAAGCTCAGCACTCGCCGGCCGCGCCACGCCGCATAGATTTGCTCCTGCAGGAACACCAGTGCTTGCTCTGCGGACCGCTGCTTTCGGGCCCCAAAATGGCTCGTCGGGAGCAGTCCATGCGTCTCCACCGCGTGCGAGATCCTCTCTGCGACCACCGATTCGAGTATCTTTCCGAGTGTCGCAAGGAGTGAGATAGGCCTCCATGCCTTTGCAATGGTGTAATCGTCTTTGTTCGGCTTCTTGAGCGGTATGATCTTCGCGTGTCTCCACTGTCTTGGCACTGTGCCCTCTTGCAGCGAGGCTTGAAAAAGATCGAGGACCCTGTACTTGACTGTGGGCCACGTCATCTTCCAAACGATCGTCGGTAGGCCGTCTTCACCAGGTGCCTTCCACGACTTGGCCGCTGACAGCTGCCGCTCTATCTCCTCCATAGTGACAGCTGGCATGTCTACAGGCGCTCTTTGTGGTCTCACTCCTTCCTCGTCGATGTTCTCTGGCAAAGGCGGGAAGAACTTGGATAGCAGTTCCTCCGCTTGCTCCTTGTGATCGTTGGTAGTAGTTCCATCTGCTCTGATGAGCTGCGGAATCTTCCCGAACGCGGCGTCGTCCCCCGACTTGAGGTACTTGGCGGCTTTCCAGATGTTGTCATTGTCTGCGAGAAAATCGTTCCAGTGCTTCTTCTTTTGTTTGCGGATGGCATCGTGGTATTGTTTGGCCGCATCCTGGGCCATCATTTCAAGCCGAGGTACTCTTCGACCTACCCGTCGCTCGGAGCGAGCGCGGTTTCTCCAGTACGTGTATATGTGACGGAGTTGAGTGAGATCAGTTGTCCACCATCGCTTCGCATGGGGTGATGCTTTCGCCCTCGGTGTTAAAGCGTGCACCGCTTCCGAAACTGCCGCCATCAGTCGATCCGTTTTCTGCTGTACAGTGCACTCCGACGGAAGGGTGGCCAGAGCCTTCTGAATCCTGGCGTTAATCTCCTTCCATGGTGCATTCTTCAGTAAAAGTCGCTCTTGGTGCTTTGGGCCCGACCACTGGGTGTCGAACACGGACTCAATGGCGCAGTGATCAGAGCCGTGGTCTGTCTCGAGTAAAGCACATTTCGTCATGGATTCCGTCAAATCCTCTGAAGCTAGGACTAGATCGATGGTGGACTCGCAGTCTCCACTTTGTCCGCCGCCATGCCATGTCTTGGTGCCGCGTTTGAGCAAGCTACTGAGCGTGAACTCATTCATGAGGTCGATGATCGGATCCGCTTCCCCTTGTCTTCCCAGCGACACTTCGTCTCCACCCCAAAGTTGATCGTGTCGGTTGAAGTCCCCCATGATCAAAATATCGACCACCTCACCGGTGTCCCGTCGTACCTTCGTGATCGCACCGCGTAAACGACTGCACGCATCGTCCAAAGCGGAGACATTGCCCCCTTCTACGTAGACTGATGCCGTGAAGACCACTCGCTCGGGGAGCCTAATCACCGCTGCTGTGATGTCTGGAGAATCCATAGGGACTTGCTCTGCTTCGACTTCTTTGTTGACCCAGAGCATGCTCCGGATCGCCCATCTCCCTTCCCTCCAGGTGGAGGGCACCATCTTTGTCCACTTGTGATGCCCCATTGGGGTGGTCAAGAGCCGGCCTTGAATCCTCCTCGCTTGGGGTTCCTGAATCGCTAGCGCCACTGCGTTCTCAGTATCTTCGTCGTTTAATAAACTCTCGTGCACTGCACCCTGCTTCCTCACATTCAGCTGAATTATTCGAAGAAAATTACTCATGACGTGATGGAAAAAGCTTCCGGCAGTTTTTGCTGTACGATTCGTGAGGCCCTCCGCACGGGACACACTTTGGGACCGTTTGGATGCAGTCGCTGTGGCGATGGCCCTCTGTAGCGCATTTCGCGCATTTCTGGGCGTTCTTGCACTGGAATGCCTTATGGCCTATCTCTTGGCACTTGTAACATTGTGTCGGTCGCGGTCGGTGTTCGAAGACACTAGTCACACCAGATTCTCCCCCCGCGTGGAAAAATCCGTCGGCCAAGAGCCTTCGCGCGTCGATGCGCTTGGTCAGGTAGACCACCATTGAACCGTAGGCCTTCTCACTCTCTTTTCTGCTCAGCCATGAAATCTTGGCTACGTTGGTCTCATTCTCCTCACTAAACGCTGCTGCAGCTTCTGTTCGGATCTCACCGTTCTCGTCCAGCACGGAGGCCTTGTTGACACTGTCGACTTTGATCGGGTAGAGCTCGTCACGGAGGACACGGGCTCCCGCCCCGATTTTCTGTTCTGCAGCCTTTTTGACCAGCTGCTGTTCATCCTCATCGCGGCAGGCGATCCTGATCCGGTTGGCGTTTTTCGGGTCAACGGTAACAGCGCGACAGCGCCAGTGCGCCTGGTCCTCTGTTGACCGCATCTCTGCCTCAACCATTGCCCTGACCGAGCCTGCGGAGGTCAATCCTGTCCCTTTGTCTACCATCTTCGAAGTGTCTATCGTGCAATACAGCGTGTCCGTAAAGGTGGTGGGCGTCGTGTTCAGCGTTGAAAGGGTCCGTATGTGGCTTGGGTAACTGGACGGCGGAGTGCGCGCGATATCTGCGTAGGAAGGAGAGCCTGCAGCAGCGGGGACACTGATTTCCTCGCGTAAGGACTGGATTTCGCGCAGGATCGCATCGTGGTTGTTCTGAGAACACGTCTCAGAGTGGCATTGCGGTGTCGTGGTTCTATCCGTCAGGGACTGTAGCTCGTGTCGGACCTCCGCGAGGGCGGCACCGAACTGTTCTCTGGTTCTCTGAAGTTCTTCTTTGTGTATTTCGTCACGGAGTCTGATTTCTCGCCTGAGTTTGGTGATCTCTCTCACCAAACCGCCGACGTCGAGCTCTTCGCGCTCGGTCACGGCGTCGTCCGAAGTTGCCTCGTCACGCCGGTCTCCTAGCTCACTCCTCTCATTTTGCTGGGAACGCGTCTTCCGCCGTTCGGTATCAGTTTCCTGCTCACGAGCGTAGTTGTTCGGTGGTCGAGTGGTGCGTTTCGGTCTCGCTAGTCGCGGCGGCGAATCTTCGCGTTCGTCGCGGTCGGGCGGTTCAGGGGTTCGCATCGCGGCCCGTCCCGCCATTGCTCACAGTACAAGAAGTCGGTATTACCGCCACGTGGCTTTCCACAAAACGTCCTCGCTCTCTCGAAAACTCGGTACTATACAGTACGTCCCGAAACTCGACGCCCCATACAGGTCCTACCAGAAACCGCGGTCGCAGGCGTGGACAAAAGTTTGACCCTCTTAGGATTGAATTCTCCTTTCAACCCGACGTTGGTGAGGACCTCAAACACTTTGCTAGCGGAAGACAAAAGCTTATTCGTGAGATTTTTCTAGACCGAGTTTGGGATCAAGGTATCTTTAGACCCTGTCACGGTATATAGTCGTGTTCTCACTGCACCGCGGGTGCAGTATGCCCGAGAAACCCCGGCTCGCGTGGCTCAGGGAATCTGGAGTGTAGATGCAATTCGACTCGTTAAACCCGTTGGATTAAGATCCTGGTCCTGGATTTATATCGACAGTTTTCGTATAGGTTCACTAGGTAAAAGGTCGACGACATTGACCGAGTCTCTTCATCGACTAGCGGCAGAGCTTCGGCGTATGGGGATGTTCACGCCCGGATCTATACCTGGCAGAATTATCCGGTTCAATAAGGACCACAAGGTGCACATCGAAGACGCTATTTCATTCCTGCAGGAAAAGTATCGTCCATCCATCATTCTTGTCATCCTGTCTGCCAACGCCAAGAAACTAGGCAACATTGCAAGACTGGCCTACGATGTCACTTATGGCATACCCGCTATCGAACTCACGCACGAATTGTTGGCAAACTCTAATCAAAATTGGTACGCCAGAGTCGGTCTCATGATAAACCTCAAGCTTGGTGGAGAGAATCATATGGTCAACTCGTCCGATCTAAGCTTCTTCGCTAGCGGTAAAACCATGATAATAGGGACCAATGTCGCCTTTGCAAGATCAGCGTCGCAAGGATATTTCTACACTATAGCAGGCCTTATGGTATCTTCAGACTCGCGCCTCGCTCGGTGGCCTGCGGAAATTCGTGTTCAACACGGCAAAGAGCCGCATATCCACAAGCTCAACGAGATGTTAGAAACCCGAATTCACTCGTGGGCGAAAAAACATGGCAATAAGCTTCCGGAAGATATCGTGGTCTATCGTAATTCAGAGGGCGAGCATGAGCCTTGGGTTGAAAAGGAAGTATGTTTGATCAAGGATGCCTGTCGGGCTGCAAAGCTCACAGTGCAAGACAACTTACCCCGAATCACTGTAGTGCTCGTAGACGAGAACTATGGTGCACAGTTACTGCCTACGGCAGACACAGAATGCCACCGCTCCGGTAGTCCGCTGGCTGGTACTGTTGTGGACCGTGGCCTCACGGTTCCTCGCCAATGGGACTTTTTCCTGCGATCGCACAACTCTACGCAGGGCCTCAATGGACCGACTCGCTATTTCGTGGTATTCGATGAAGTTTTTCGTAGGCGGTACCGCGTCGATGACAGAGGGCGTACACCGGTCAATTTGCTACAGGATCTTACCAATGCTCTCTGTTATTTATCTGGCGAGTCCACGAAGGCTACAAGGGTTTGCACTCCGATACAATACGCCAGTCAAGCCTGTGCTAGGGTTCGATCATATTATCGCCTGTCTCTTCTGTCTGGTTTGTTTCGGAGAGGGCAGAGCGCCAGGAATTCTGACAGGCCAGTGGCAACCAGTCTGTTGGAGATTCACCCTGCTGTTAGGGACTCTATGTTCTATCTCTGATCTGCCATAGGTTTAATGCTAAGCCAGGGTAAATTTGAATATTATTTGTAGACTCCTCAGATCAGTGCTATGAAATAAGTACTCGAGCATGAATTTGTGTTATGAGGGACCAAGTACGAGAGCCAGCACTCACTCCGGTGAGCAAAAGTACCGCGGACCCCAAACCCAAACCCATATGAAGCTGGTGGAGTAATCCTCCAAGCCGCCAATTTAATAGTACACACATTTTTCTTCCGTACAATGGCCCTGTGGAAGGCTCCGGACTTTTTTCGACATCCTTTCCATACACAGATGGGGCTTCCACCCGTAGCAGGGGTAAATTAAACAAGAATGGGCGCCTGCAAGCAGGAGACAGATCCAAGATATCTTCTGAACAGTGATCCATGCGACCCTACATGGAAAGCAGGAGAAAGCAGGATAAATTAAATAGCATAGCACCCCACCAGCGGGATCGGCGGCAGTAGTAATGCTGCAAGTGTGAAGCCTGCGTAGAGGGTCATATATTGGTTTGGCGACTTTTAATCACCGTTGCAATTGGAAGGACTATAGGCTCGAACCGAATCGGATGAAAAAGCTACAGAACGCAGGTGCAATGGTGCTGCGAGTATCACTTCATGGAAGCTTCAACCTGTATTGTAGAATTCCTTGCTCGAAAGTCTACGGCACGATTATCAGGCCAACAAACACAGCCGACTCAAATCGCCGTTAATAAGAATGATAACCACTAGCTGTAGGAATCCGCGGCCTCTCTCATCAGGGGGCCAGTTGTCGGGACTACCAGCCTCGTCGAAGCCATAGAGAGCGGAAATGGGGACGCCCAGCTGTCCACTGGCACATGTCAGAGATGCTTCAGGACCCCAACACCAGAGACACCCATAAAGAATCTCACCGAGGGGGCCCATAAGCTCTAATCTCGCTTGGCATACGACAATGACGCAAAAACCATGTATCAAAGTTCCTCCAAAGCGAATAAGTGACGCAGCAAAATAGACGCTGGGAAGCACAATCCTCGAAAAGCGAATTCCAGCACATGTAGCGGATCGGTAGAACTACCAGTGTATTTGCGATGTTGAGCTCTTGGAGAAAGCGTGGCATCCTTGGAATATAGATTGAAGTCACCAACGTGCTTGTTCTCCAAATGGATCGATCCCAGTGGGAGCAACAGGTGCATTACATCACGAAGGAACTTGCAATGGCGCCAAGTGACACTCCCACCTTTTGAGGAAACACCCAAGTATTACTGGCACTAATTTTAGCAGCGCGTGAGATATCATAATCTGAGTCTGGTGGCGTCCCTTCTGTTTTGCTTCCTCCACTCAACACACGAATACCATAATTGTAATGCATGTACTGAAACCCAGCCTGGGTGTATATATAGATTAGGTTCACCATGGTAGTCAAAATGATAGGACGGACAATATCACTACCATGTTTAGTGATAACGCGGGGAGCATGGAGGTAAAACGCTTGTTATGGTGATAAAACAACTTACCTGCTAGGGCTGGTGCCCTTGCGCTCAGTGCACCCTCATCGAGTGTCGTAGCGCAGCCTACGATATTTGACGGGAGAGCCCTGAGACCCATTCCAGGCATTAAATTAAGCTAGAGACTTGCAAACCCTTCATTGGGACGACAACATGACAAATGATCGGTCATGTTCATGTCAGGAGGGCCTAGAGCGCCCTTAATCCCGCTGTTGGAATTAGACATTGTGTCCGGTCGAAGTTATATATATTTCCCATGGCGGGGTCTCCCTCAGTGACTCTCTCTCAATCAGAGGACAAAAGTGATCTTATATCAACCATCCTTATGTCACAGACATCGGACCAAGCGCAACTGCCACTATTTATGCGGTCCGCAAGTTCTCCTATTTCATTTCTTGCTCCACTTATCCGGACCCGGATGTCACCTTTATTACAACAGGAGCTAACATCCAACAACAATGATGCGTTGCAGCCACCGCACCGATATTCGACATCACTCGAGACTATGTCGACTGTGTCCAGGTCAACAAGACAATATCCTACATCACGAGAAGAACTAACATCAAAGGAAAATCACATCCCGGCCATGTCAAGCTCAATACGACCATCGTCAACATTTACGGAGGGCCATGGCTCACAAAGTCCTATGTCAAGCGGGTCGCAGTCATGGCAACCAAGGCCCACGTTTGTACGATATTACACGTCGGAGTCATTGCACCATGACCTAACATCGCGTAGGGATTATGCGACGCTGGTTTCTATCTCAAGAACGCCACAGGAATTACGAGAGCCAATATTCCCGAAGGGTCACAAATCATGGTTATCACGACAAAATCCAACATCCAGCCAACATAACCATTTACTGAACACTCCTCAGACCACCCCACTGTCATTACGACACGGGTCAACCTCGACGGAAGAATACTCGCAACCAATAACTGTCTTCCATTCAGCTAGCATAACCTCGCCAACATCCCTCGACGGTCAACAATCGACTTCCTCAGGAAACTTTCTGTCGAATCCTCTATCCACAACGAGTCAGCACAAGACCAACTCTCTATCATCCTCGCGTGATCTGATCAAGGTAACGACAGTAGCTTCCCTGCCCTCTGCTCGACCAGCAGTCACGCAGCTTAGCGAACTAAGCCCCGACCTATCCGAGATCAGAAAGCTCCAAACCGTGTCTCCGACAAAGACCGAAGATGTTCATATTGCGATCACCAACCCTTCGACAAGGACTTTCAACCACTTTTCCGGGGCCCAATCCTTTATAAATCTTCCCCCCACGAGAAGTGAAAGGATAAGTTTACTTTCAACAATACGTACAAACACCGCCAAAGACATCAAAGCTGCGGTGCTTAATACTAGCTTTGAAAACTCCTTTCCCGTGCAATCAACGCCATACCTAGAAGGTCAAGAAAGGACTACAATATATTCCAAGCATTCTTCTCTTAGGTACTGCCGCCCACCAAAGCGCAAGGTGCTATGTCAGCTAATTACTGCCACCCACAGCGTCTTCACTACATTATCCATCATCACTTCCAGTCCTATCTCGTCCTACCCTTCTGGTACTGAATTCAGCCCAAGTCCATCTGTTCAGGGGTCACTTAGAGGCGACAGCACCGCTTCAACGTCATCTTCAACCTCAGATGGCTCCGCTGCCAAGCACACCGTGACTATCACGAGCGTTGGTGTCGCTGTCGGCAGTATCGCATCAGGCGGGCTCATATTCCTGATATTAGTGGCGTGGGTAAGACGGCGGAGGGGTAAGAAATCACAAATGCATGATAAAGATCAGGTACGCACAACGCTTGCTCCGCCTCGATCAAAGGTTACCGCCCGACGGCGGGACTTTCCCGTACCATCGTCTGTATATTCCCGTCCACCCTAGACATGCATTCATATAGGGTGGAAAATCCCAACCTGCTATTACCTGATACTATGCACTTTCGCTATACATGTATCACGAATGTTCACCCACCGGGCTAATATTATGTTATTTGAAACCTCCTTATTTAAAGTCGTTGAACAGAAAACGTAGTAATCACCGAATAATCATCTCATCCTCCCTGAGAGAAAAAAAAAAAAAAAAAAAGAAAAGAAAAGAAAAAGGGCCAGGCTGTTAGCTGAGACTTAGGAATTCATGACTTTAGCTTAATGAACAGATTGAATGAGATTTCTACGTAAGCATCCATTAGAATTGAGTAACGAGATTAGCATATACCTTGAGATAAAAAAAAAGTTCGTCATTCGTGGGACACACAGGTATGTTGTTACACCTAGCACGTCTACCTAAAGTTTCCCACAGACTTTCCCGAATTCCGATGTCATGTAACAAACCCTCGAGCACTATAAATGCTACCTCAATCCCCCATTTACTGGCGCATACCACTGACACGGAACATCGCCTTCCTTACAATCAATACCGTCACGGTAACGAGAATTTGTAACCTCGAAACAATGAATTCCATGTGGTCAGGAGTTAAAAAATACTTCGGAGATGGCGCTCAATCCTCAAGCCCTCGGCTGTTTCGCAATTATATTCGTGATCCCAAGTACCTACCAATCCGGGATGACAGCATCCGTCGAAATGGCCATGAGTTTACTTACCAATTTTGGCGACACCTCCCGTGCTCCATGCATCTGTGATGGACTGGATGAACAATCCCAGAAAATGGACGAATACATCCAGTCGAACCCGACTGGCCATCCTGAAGGCTATAAGCTTTACACTACAAAGGGTGATAAATCACTCGAAGAAGCCATAATTCACGCCCTCCGAGACACGCTTCAGTTTTGGGCAATTTGGCATGGACCCCTTGAGTCTCACCGATGGAAGCATATGTATATTGCCTTCACGTCCTGCTGTGACGATATTTGTATCCCCCCTCAAGACCTACGAAGTGGGGCCTTCCGTATACTCGGCCACACGTTGACCGACGTACTCCAAGGTCTTCTTTCTGAAGGTATTCACCCAAACGATGTTAAGAAATTAAAGATGCCCATATGGCGAGAGTCTATCGGCCAATATCTGGAGAAAGTCCACCCTACAGTCCGAGACCAGCCTCTGGGCAAGACCACCATGATGACACAATTTCGGATGAGGACTGCCAACGGGGAGGGAGCCGCGCTTCTCGCTTTGGCCGCAAGGGTTACGGGACCGCTTTCGTCTTACTACGACCTGGTTGAGTTTGCCGGCATCGGTGTTTGTCTATCCATGGACATGACGAAGGAGGGACTCGGTATTCTCCGCGGAGACCCAACGGAGATCGTTGCCGGAGGTGTCCGAGAGCAGCTCAAGAAGGAAATCCACTGGTTGTATGCCCGGACAATGGAGTTCCTCGGCAAGCAGCATCACACTCCTGGCTTTATTTTACCTTACCTAATGGACCGCTACTGGGAAAGAGTGACGCAAACGCGAGCCCCAACCACAACTGATTGGAGACGCCGGATCAAGTCTTATAGAAGCCTTTGAACTTGCCTTTAGCCACAACAAACCTGCGAAGATACAGTCCCGGATACTGTTGCGATTACTATCGTATGAGCTAGTCGTTTTCTTTCCATTTTTAGCTAATCGGAAGCTTTCCCACAAGCTGGTTCACAAAGCCCACTCTTTTACGGGCATAGATCTGGTACGCTTCTCTGGGTTCTCCACGGCTGATATATTTACCTTGCAATCAGGTTCAGAACTATTGTCGACCTAGAAGAACAAATCCTTCACCGTTTCTAGAAAACCAAATTTGGCTTATTGTATAGTGGTTTTGAGAAGCTCGTATAACTTCTGATGTGACGTGATGATAACCGTAACCAAAGACAAATGTTAAACTTGAGTAAGGTATAAACTCAAACCTGAACAAAAGCAAGATGTCTTGAATTCTTGATCTAGCCATGTACTTGCATTGTTCCGCTGAGATCCATAACGTGAATCCCGGCCGCCCGAGCGTCCCGGTCGCGCGAGCGCTGCTCCGAGAACTTCAAATTTGGTAATTTTAGAATCTCAAATATCAACACGAAAACTTAGATAAATAGCTAAATAAGTTTTGTAGGACATCGAGAATAAGTATGCCCTTTGGTTCCGCAACCAGAACAGGTGACCTGGCGCCGTATAGTAGATACAGGGGGTAATTCAGGCTCTGCTGGTGATTCTGCAGCACCTTCCGTTGCAGATATATATTCCCTTCCACCATCTTTACCCACCACCACATTGGGTCCAATCTCTTCCAACCTTCGCAGACTGCCTTTATGCGATATCTGCTTCTTACTAGTAGCCCTCTTTTTTACCTGCTTCTTATTAGCAGTCTCTAACCTAGCGTAACGATCTTTGATAAAGATAAGCTCATGACTTAGCCGAACGGCTATATCATGCGACCGGTCAATAGCTCGTTTTAGTGGCGAAGTCATGGTCTCTGATGAAGGTTCAAGTCCTTTTTTGATCTGAGAATTCATTTTTTTGCAGTTTTGAGAGGCTCCAAAGAGTATCTAGATCACTAGTACTGCTAGAAGATGCTAGTCGTGGTTCAAGTGGCTTAGGTGGTAGAAGCGATTCAAGCTAAATATTCAGCTTATCTAGTACATAATTAGCATCTAAAGGCACTAGACCAGTGCCTTTAAAGCTATTCTATATAGATTGCGCTTTAAAAGCAGCTTCTCGGGCAATAGGGTAGAGTTGAATAAAGTCATCTTTGTCGATAGAATTAACACCAAGGCGTATCTCTTCTATAACAAGCGCTCTATATACCCTTTTTAGGACTGAAAAGCACCTAATATCAAGAGGTTGTAATATATGAGATGCATGAGCAGGCATACAAAGAGAAATAACATCATTCTCTTCACAGATTTTGTCGAATTCAGGTGTCAGATGAGATGAGTGTCCATCCAGAATTAGCAACACGTATTTCCCTTTCCGTAGAGGAAGATAGGGTAAAAAGTGCTTTTTGAGCCAGTCATTACCAATCTCATCACTTGTCCATCCATTGGGGCTTTTATTCACGCTCCAAAGTGGTGGTTTCAAGAGCCAACGCTCCAGAAAGACCTTTCCTTTAAAAATGATATATGGCGGAAGCGCAACGCCATTAGCACCAATACACTCAATCACAGTGACCCATTCTCGATTCCCAGGCTGTAATACACCTCTTCTACCATGGTATTCAGCAGAAGTGATGACTTTTTGAGTGGAACTGATTCCCATCGCAAAACCAGACTCATCAAAGTTATAGATATCGTCAGAAGTGATACCATATTTTTGGATGGTATGTTCAACAAGTTTAAACCAAGGTAGAATAACCCTTGGGTCTTCAGAAAGGGCTCTCTCATAATTGTATTTACGAGAGAGACGAGTGGAGAGTGTTTGGTGTCTTTTAACAAATTCTGTCGTCCAATTTTTGCCAACTTTCGGAGGGGGGTCGGAGGGTATCAATTCACGCGATCGGAGCAACAAATTGGCCATATCTCTCAACATGGCATGCGTGAGAGCTGCTCCTCGAGAATCCATAGAAAGCAGCCATTTTTCCATAGATTTTTCTTCCAACATAGTAAATTTATGGCCAGAGGGGCGAGATTCGTCCCAAAATTGTCGCCCCTTGATTCGGTGCTTCAAAGTTGAGACTGGCACATTAAAAGCGCGCGCAGCAGCAGCGGCAGACAGATATTGACCATCTCTTATAGCTTTGATAGCTAATAAGAGAGGCCCCTCTTGCTGTACCAATTTTTGAGACTTTTGAGGGCGAATTGGTGGCATGGTTAATGTTTAAAAACATAGGTTGCTACAGAAATGTTTTTTTTAAAAGTGTCGCTCGGGCGGCCGGGATTCACGTTAGTTCTCGCAAGTGCGTATGTAAGCATCCGTGAGGTGGCACAATTTGTAATATCATTGCTTTTTTAAATGTGAAGCTGTATAGTAGCTTTCGGTATAGATTAGATCGTGACTCTAGGCCAAGTATGCTGTAAGACGGCCTGTTGCTAGGGTCTTGAAATACCAAGTATACTTCGCCAGACACTTGCGTCAACGCCGGAAGGTCTATATGCCATTGGAAAAAAGAAAAAAAAAAAGATAAGGAAAGAAAAAGCTTTTCAATAGAATAGGAACCCAAACCAAGTTCCAGAAATCTTCATTCTTGAACCTAGTGCAAGTGGGTCAAAATTATCCACTTGCTCTGGTGCCTCATAGTGTGGGAAATGGCAGAGAGAATAGCGGTTCAAACAGTCTCTCGCAATCCGGGCCCCAAATTTGATGGCTAGGAGGCAGGCAGTTGATACAACACAGCCTTAAATTAGGTCAGCTGACCAGAAGCGTATTCATAGATTGCATGAGCAGGATAAATATGAGCACGTAATGAAAGACAAGAGAGGCATCCTAGCCTGTCCGCGGAAATAAAGTACGATATATGGTCATTTTCATATTGGTCGGCCTAATATTTAGACCCACGGAGAAAAGTCTGGCCTTCGTCCCCTTCCATGGAAATTGACTGCTTGACATGGGGAATATAATTGCACAAAATTACAGAAGACCTGTTCACCTAGGATATCACGTAGTGATGTAAAAAGGCCGGGACCAAAGGCCCGTAACTATTCCCAGCCAATGATGGCTAGGAATGCTTGTTGTTGGCTCAAAACCGCATTCTCACTGTAAGGTTTATATATATAGCTGGTGCTGAACTGACCACCTTGCGATCATCACTGTTTGGAAGGGTGGCCCATTGCAAGTCGTGGGATCCCAACGTAAGTTTGAACCGATCGAGTCTGAGAAAACCTTCAGCACACATACATGATCATCTGCCAGGCTAATATTATCCGATAGGCATATAATTAGCGTATCTATAGTTATAGCTGAGTAAATCTTTTATTACTTGATAATTTGAGGCCATATTTGTCTATATTGATATGGTTTAAAAATGGTCTTTTGTTATTTGTAAAAAACTTGATAATAGGGCGTCTACATTGTTAAAACATCACGATATTCTGCGTGGGCTACATTTGTTTATTTCGCTTGAACAACCCATCCATCCATATACGCATGCGTTACGGCGAGCCTACTCAGAGCTTCATGATTTTATCACAACATGTCTCTTCAAAGGTCACCCCACTGCGAACAGGATGACCTAGAAAAGTGCCTTTCAAGCTTTCAAGTGGTAGGTTCTTTGATTGTTTTTTTGCTATTTACCGGTAATTCTCCCTCTCCAGATTCTGGAGACCTCAAAGCTAAGTTGCATATATGGCAAGATTGTTCCTGTGCTTTGTTTCGTAGACCGTCATCCTAGCCCCACCCCTCCAAAGTCAGATTCGCCAACAGAAAGGGCAAATACTGGAATCTTGCTAGTACTTGGGAGATGTGGACGCCCAAATCACGAGGTACTAATAGGAGTATACGCATTCTTCTGCCAATAGCCACGTACTCGGTCTCTTTATTGGGTGGAAGGTAGTGGGGCCAAATAGCACTATGTATTAGTAGTAATGGATGGGGTTTGGCATAAATTAGGGTTTTGAGTGAAGACAAAAATCCTAGCCATTTCCGAAGTAACGTGTCACCGTGTACGCCCAACTTGTAACTTGTACTAGTCATACTCGGAACGCATAAGTCGTGACCTGCTAGCTCGAAAAGATAAAGTTCGGATTCGAATCCAGAACTGTTCTATAGCTTCAAGATGGTGCAGCTGAGAGCTTAGCAGAATAATTGTGTTATGAAGATGGTTGATTTGATCACGTAGGTGTCGGATCTGCGTTTCTATTGCCTTCGCCGAGGAACCCATGTTGCTCTTAGTTGTGGCTAGCGACTACAAGTTTGAGTCACTTCGGGGGCTTCCTATAGGAGACTCTTGACTATATATACGTGTGGCTTTCACGTAGGCCTGGAATAGCAATCTTCGCATTTGGGCCGAGTGAGCCTCGCCGCAATTAGCCGCACTCACGGGAATACCGTTCTAGGTGGATCGTTTTGGAACACCTCGTCTCACTTGTTTTGGGATGCAGGCTTCTCCCATTATTCACTTGCCGGATAAGAATTCACCTTATTGAGCAGTGTTGCCTCAGCCATTTTGCCTATGATAGAAACAAGGAAGAACGGGTTTCAAGTTCTGGAGGAAGAACAATAGGCCCAGCCATATTGCACAGCGCCAAGGATATGATGCGCATTCTTTTCATGCACTGGGCTGGTGCAAGCCGCTTAAGGGAAGATTATTGTTTCTGTAGGGGTCTGCCACTGGTGTGCATACTTATGACCTGATTTTCCATACAAGCAAGAATTTATAAGTTATTCTATCATCAGTAAAAGTTGCTTCTGAGTATTGAGGAGAGCTACTACAAAATCTTTCTGACCGCAGTCAAATCGAGTAACGAAAACTTTCATTGTCTGGCTGAATACCATTTCTGGCGAATGCGCGTGTGTCATATTCTGTAGCTCTCCAACTATATGTCATGGCAATTTGCTTTGAAGGGGGCAAATGATTATTTTGCAGAGCTGCTTTATTGTAACAGGCAATG